CGTTTAAAAACTAAGGTGAGCACTGTGTGTCTTAGTCGCCAGAAGCCTGCAAATACGTGTTGTTCCATCTTTAAAGGTGCTGGAGTCTGTAATATGCCTGCTGCCTCTTCAGGCCTTGCACCAAAGCAGACTAACATGCCGTTTCTTTAAAGACATTGGGCCTGATCCAGCCAGAACCAAATTACAGCATTTTAAACATCGTTGTTTTCAGTGGAAGAGATTTAAGCTGTACTTCTTACCATAAATTGAAATTAATGGGACTTTAAGGATGGCACTGTATGCATTCTTAAATGGGAACTGAACCCCAGTGAACTCACTGGGGCTTGCTCTGAGTAAATATGCATATAATAGGCTGCACAATACTTTAAATTTGTTCGGGTCATGCCCATCCTTTATACAGGATGGTTTTGTGATGGTGGAATATTTTAATTGGTAGTACTATTTTATGCTTTGTTTCCTCTTGCTTTTTATGTTTTGAAGAAGAATTGGAATACATAACTTGCATTTGCCTTGTTAGTCCTTGACGCTTCCATTTGTCATCCTGTTTTTCTTCTCCTATTGTCACAATTGTTCATTTATCAATGTTGCTTCTCTGCCTACAACAAAGCAGAGAAAAGAGCTTCCAAGAAGCTCTTTTTGAAGCACCTTTCTTCCCACATTCCACAGCGTTATAAACTCCTTGACAGGTTAGCTTTAAAAGAAGAAAATAAAATATTTCCCTCCCCCATGCATAATTGCAAAAAGAACTGTGCTTAATGAAATCCCGCAAAGAGTGTGGCGAGGGCGCATCCAACCTCCCAGTGGCATGACAGTTTGCTTGACAGAGATAGCACATGCCACACCGCTATTTCATCTCCTAAATCTTTTTGAACTTGTTAGGAAGAGAGTTTGTTGTGTCTGAAAGACAAACTGAGGAGAGGACCTAGTGAAGAATTAAAAAACTGAGAAGACAGCAAGCTGGGAAGTGAAGGGATGGGTTGATTTGGTTGTTTTGGACAAAGGGCAATCTTTGAACTTGTCACTCATAACCAAACTAACAAAATGCTTTTCATTTTGGCAGAGGTGGTCCATCCAGTGCAGGCCTCCCTGGAGCACAACTTGTCTCTACGTTTTGTACATGGACACCTTGTGCTTTCCTTGGAGATGCTCTCCAACATCTGATGTTGCCCTTCCGGAAGAGTAGCACTTTTCTTTCTCCCATTGGAGTGAGCGGTGGTTATTTGTGTATATGGAAGAAACATAAAGTAAGTATATTTGAGGACACTGTTGGAACAGGAAGTAACTCTGCCTCATCCTGGCCCTGGTGGCAACAGCACCTTATCATAGAATTGTGGAATTGTAGAGTTGGAAGGGACCACAAGGGTCATCTAGTCCAACCCCCTGCAGGTCAGGAATGTTTTGCCCAACATGGGGCTCGAACCCATGACCCTGTGATGAAAAGCCTCATGCTCTCTCTACTCTACTGAAGTAGTGTAGCTTCTCCCCCCCCCCCCCCACCTCTCCAGCTGTGTCCACAAGATTGGAGTAAGAGGCATGAAAATGTGAGTTTCCCTGTTTCTGCATATTTTCAGCCCAGACTTTATTTCTTGGGGTGATGGTAGAATATGACAGCACTCCAAACTAGCATTTGTATATGATTGATGAGTTGGATTATTGAATCACTCCTGTGCCATTCACTATGCCTAGTTTTATTTTATTGTCTCCTGCCTGCTTTTGAAAATCAGTATAACAAACAGTCCAGATGTTTTCATAGAATCATAGAATCACAGAGTTGGAAGAGACCACAAGGGCCATCGAGTCCAACCCCCTGCCAAGCAGGAAACACCATCAGAGCACTCCTGACATATGGTTGTCAAGCCTCTGCTTAAAGACCTCCAAAGAAGGAGACTCCACCACACTCCTTGGCAGCAAATTCCACTGTCGAACAGCTCTTACTGTCAGGAAGTTCTTCCTAATGTTTAGGTGGAATCTTCTTTCTTGTAGTTTGGATCCATTGCTCCGTGTCCGCTTCTCTGGAGCAGCAGAAAACAACCTTTCTCCCTCCTCTATGTGACATCCTTTTACATATTTGAACATGGCTATCATATCACCAGGTATTCTTGTACTATCTCCTTAGTTATTCTGGGCTGTGTTTCCTTTGCTGAATCATTTGCTCCAAATTCTTCAGGTCGGGCATTGTTTTCTTTATCGGAGAAGACTGAGGCAAAGAAGGCATTGAGGAGTTCAGCCCTTTCTGTGTCCCCTGTTTGCATTTCACCATCTTCTCCTCTGAGTGGCCCCACTGTTTATTTGTTCTTCCTTTTGCTACGAACATACCCATAAAAGCCTTTTTTGTTGCTTTTAACCTCTCTAGCAAGCCTGAGTTCATTCTGTGCTTTAGCTTTTCTGACTTTGTGTCTACACGTGCTGGCTATTTGTTTGAATTCCTCTTTGGTGGTTTCCCCTTTTCCATTTTTTGTACACATCCTTTTTTAATCTTAACTCTGTTAAAAGTTCTTTAGATAGCCACCCTGGCTTCTTTAGGCACCTTCCATGTTTCCGTCTCATTGGTATTGCCTGCCGTTGTGCTTTTACTATCTCCCTCTTAACAAACTCCCAGCCATCATGAACTCCCTTTCCTTTTAGTATTACTGTCCATGGGATCTCACCCAGCACTTCCCTAAGTTTGATGAAGTCGGCTTTCTTAAAGTCAAGAAATTGAGTCCTAGTATGCTTGGCTGCTCCTTTCCGCTGTATAGTAAACTTCAGAAGAGCATGATCACTCGCGCCTAATGATCCTTCCACTTCTACCACACTAACCAGGTCATCAACATTGGTTAGGACCAGATCTAAAATGGCTGTTCCTCTTGTTGCTTCTCCCACTTTCTGGACAATGAAGTTGTCTGCAAGGCCAGTGAGGAATCTGTTTGACCTTATGCTCTTGGCTGAGTTTGACATCCAACAAATATCCGGGTAATTGAAGTCCCCCATTACTACTATCGCCCTTCCTTTTGCATGCTTGGCCATCTGTTCCAGGAAGGCATCATCTATGTCCTCCGTTTGGCTTGGGGATTTATAGTAAACTCCCACAATGAGGTCACTGTTATTCTTCTCTCCCTTAATTTTGACCCAAATGCTCTCACTTTGGCTTTGAGGTTCTAAATCTTGGATCTCTTCACAGGTATACACATCCCTGACATATAACGCCACTCCTCCTCCTTTCTTGTCTGGTCTGTTTCTCTGAAATAGATTGTATCCCCCATTATTACATTCCAATCGTGGGACTTATCCCACCAGGTTTCAGTGATGCCTATTATGTCATATTTAGTTTGCTGTACCAAGAGCTCAAGCTCATCTTGTTTATTTCCCATGCTTTGCGCATTAGTGTACAGACATTGAAGTCCATTAATCATTGCCCCGTGTCTCTTATTTAAGTATTTTTTCCTCCCACCACTAGGTCTGCGTGCTGTTTGCTCCATTTGGTCTATGACATTTGGATGATCATCTTCATCAATTGATAGACTCCTATCAATGCAACAAGGAATGGCATGGCTTTCTTTTTGCTCTCACTGCACTGGTTTGAGTATATACTTCACCTAATCACTTGTGGTTATTCTTCCCCTGTGACTGAATGTAACATCCAAAGGAATATGTGGTGTCAGCAATCGTGATGACTTATTCATTGTGTTGGTGAAGCTAATCGCAATACCGTGGTACGTCGGGTTAAGAACTTAATTCGTTCCGGAGGTCCGTTCTTAACCTGAAACTGTTCTTAACCTGAAGCACCACTTTAGCTAATGGGGCCTCCTGCTGCCGCTGTGCCGCCGAAGCACAATTTCTATTCTCATCCTGAAGCAAAGTTCTTAACCTGAGGTACTATTTTTGGGTTAGCAGAGTCTGTAACCTGAAGTGTCTGTAACCCAAGGTACCACTGTAATGAATGATGCTTTCATGAGTGAATTTGTCAACCAAGTGCTGCTGCCACATGAGGCAAAAGACACAGCTGTGCATCCTTCTGTAATACTGAACAAATACTCATTATGAATCCAAGCAAACCGTGACACATGTTTAGGAAGCAAAGCAGGGCAGGTACCAATGGCAACCTGACATCTTCTGGAAAAAGTGCCAGGTCCAGTGCCGAGGGCCTTCTGGTGGTTCCCTCACTGTGAGAAGCCAAGTTACAGGGAACCAGGCAGAGGGCCTTCTCGGTGGTGGCACCCGCCCTGTGGAACGCCCTCCCACCAGATGTCAAAGAGAAAAACAACTACCAGACTTTTAGAAGACATCTGAAGGCAGCCCTCTTTAGGGAAGCTTTTAATGTTTAACAGACTACTGTATTTTAATACTTTGTTGGAAGCCGCCCAGATTGGCTGGGGAAACCCAGCCAGATGGGCGGGGTATAAATAACAAAAAAAAAAATTATTATTATTATTATTACTACTACTCATTATAGTGGTACCTCAGGTTACATACGCTTCAGGTTACAGACTCTGCTAACCCAGAAATATTACCTCGGGTTAAGAACTTTGCTTCAGGATGAGAACAGAAATCGTGCTCCTGCGGCGCAGCAGCAGCAGGAGGCCCCATTAGCTAAAGTGGTGCTTCAGGTTAAGAACAGTTTCAGGTTAAGAACGGACCTCTGGAACGAATTAAGTACATAACCAGAGGTACCACTGTATAGAGCTATGCTTTTCCTACTCCTGAACACTGAGAAGTTCCAGAAAGCAGCGCTGCAGTGGATTTAGCTTTCTTTGTATGACTTAAGGCATTTTTATTTATTTATTTACAAATATAAACACAGTATGTTAAGTGGAGGTGACCAGCAGATATCAGTGGTGGAGCTTCCACCCCCCAGCAGGGAATTCAATCTCACACTAAGTGATTGTTCTGTCATTGCAAACATTTTCCACTGTGCACAGTTCTGTGGATTCTCCCGACTCCCCTGAGCCAGTTTGCACCGGCTTCTGCATGACCTCACTATTCTCCCAGGTTTTAAAAATGACCAGAGCTGCTTTTAATTATCTGGGATAGCTCAGTTGGTTGAGCATGAGACTCTTAATCTCAGGGTCGTGGATGTGAGCCCCACATTGAGCAAAAGATTCCTGCATTGCCGGGGGTTGGACTAGATGACCCTCATGGTCCCTTCCAACTCTACGATTCTACTATTGCTGTTGGTGTTGGTTCTTGACGTCAAAATGAATGTTGGCGGTTCTTTGGGAGGGGGCGGCATTTCTTCTATTTGTCTACGGCCCTGAAAACTGACACTGGAGGGTAGGTAGATTTGTTTGTTTTTAATACCCCCAAATAAATTGTGTGTAGCTTATTATAGGCTCCTTACTGAATACTTCCAATCTCCGTAGGGGATTGCAAGAAGCTGGGTACCAAATGAAGTGTGTGGGGAGAGGTTGGAATTTCTGCTGTTGTGCTTCATTACAGCATTTGCTCTGCAGGACTTCAGCAGAATGAAATTGAAGCTGGTCATTGTTGTGATATGTTGGAAGCAATTCCATCAGCTATTACTCCAGAGGTGGCTCCTGCTGCTTCAGTTTCTAAGATGAGCTCAAAGAACAGAAGTAAAGGGATGGGGGGGGGCTCTCTTTTTTTTAAAGGAAGCAGTCTTGCTTTAGTGAAATAAAATGAATTTGTGAATCTACCAGTGAGAGCAATCGCAATCTTTTTCTCCCCATAGAGCAGTGCCCCCCAAACCTGATGCCCAGGCAGGCTGAGGCCGAGGAGAGCTGTAGCTCAAAATATCTGTGTGGCACCAGGCTGGGGGAGGCTGCCAGAGGCAGACGGAACAAAACCATGGATTGCCCATTTCTCCATTCTCCCATTCCAGGACAGTACGCAGGCTGCAGATGTGATGAATGTATTCTAGGCCCTTATTGGCAGAGGACCTAAACCCTGAGGAAGGAAGGATTAGTTATTCTTAACCATATAACAGATGATAATGGAAAAAGAGTCTGCTGGTACCTTAAAGACTGCCAGATTTATTATGACATTATTATGGACTAGAACTCAGTTCCCCAGATAAACTTAATCAAGGCTCTAATTCATGAAGTCTCTTTCTGCAGAAAAACTTTTGGTTTTTAAGATGCCACAAGACTTGTTCATCTTCCTGCAACAGACTGCAGAATTTTATCGCTGGGATAAAACTAAACAAGCAAATTCAAGACATAAACTTAAGAGGGTGAGTGCGCTCTCTCTCTCTCTCTCTCTCTCTCTCTCTCTCTCTCTCTCACACACACACACACACACAGACACACACACACGACTGACTGTGATACAGCACTACCAATCAGTGTGGAGTGTGCAATGACATTTTTATAATTTTATTATAGAGATATTCAACACAAGCACTTAAGTATATCTACTAACTTGCCAATAACAGCACTTGGTGATATCCTGTACAGAAGGCAGAATTCAATCATGTTCCTCTTCCCACAGCCATGAACAAGACACAGATAATGTGTGAGAACACTGGATGTAGCTAAGCAGGGGTGCCAACTTGCATAAAATATTGGGTGGGGGAGGCAGGTGAGCTCCACCACACAGAATCGATCACATGACATGGTGCACACACACCATTTGAAAGGCAATGCCCATCAACTTGAGGGGGCGGCCCCCTCAAATATTTTAGGGGGCCCAAAGCCCCCTCAGGCCCTAGGAGCTGGTTCCTATACAACTAAGAATTTCACTGCAGCACCCATTGATAATACAGTTCTGTAATCCAATCGGGAATCACCCACAGAAACTGAAAGACCAGCATTCTAGAGCCCTGGGCATTTGAAGAAAGAAATTTGAGATGTTAAAAAAAGAGTGATAGAGATGAAATTACATGTACTGAATTTTGTGTACTTTCTGTGTGTGTGTGTGTGTGTGTGTTTGTGTGTGTGTGTGTGTGTGTTTTGCAGCACAACATTTATCTTGAAGTTTGATATCCATATTTATAGCACAATTCTCTTTCATTGGTCCCTGCATCCATTTTCAAGAGGGCCAGAAAATAAAACACCCTGACCCAGTTCATACATAACACTATGCCCAACCATAGCTTAGTGTGAATGAGCAAACCCGTGGGTTCCTAGAGGAAAGATTGTGGCTTTGATGCAACTGCACCACTTGGGACTAAGCAATGGTTTGGCTGAGTATTGTGTCCAAGCTTAGGTTCATGATTTGCCCCCCCCCCCGGCAAACTACAGATGGCAAACCTGGAGGAAACTTTGGTTACAGCTCATGGTTTGCCTGGAGTGACACAAACCATGAACCCAGGTTCAGAAGTAATACTTAGAAACCATGGGTTAGCTCTGCCTAGGGTGGCAACAGCAGAGCTGTGATTTGTTAGTGTTGCCATACGTCTGTAATTTCCTGGACATACTTAGAATACTGCAGTTGGAAGAAGTGTCCAGGTGGAAATCAACAAAATCTCTGGGAAAATCTGGACGTATGGCAACTCATGTCAGCTCAACAACTTTGGCAAAAAAACAAAAAAAAACCCCAAACCCCCATGTTTGTATTTTCAGCCTTGAGATTAATGGATATATCTCAGTGCAACTTGGCATGTATGATTCTGAAGCAATTATTTATATAAAGTTCAGATAAAACCAACATACCCATTTTCATGTGGGGAGCAATGAATGATGCAGAGATGAAAAATTATAATGTGAAATATGTGCTGTAATACAGCATCTGAAGCAAGGCCTCTTGGACCTGGTGCTTTGCTAGTTACATGAAACAACAACAACAACATCACCTCCTTTCTATCTCAAGTCTCAGGCTGGGTTTCAAAAGAAGAGGACAGAATTCCACTTCTTGGAAAGGTATAGAAAGCTTAATGTGAGCATTCTCCTGAATATAATGAAATCCTGCTTGGTGATATTGTGCTTTGCAGGCATGTGTGTTTGGTTGTCTTATCAGTATCCTACAGCTGTGCAGTTCAAGATGAAACTGACAGCATTTTGGAGTGACAGGTCTTGTGGGACATCATGTGCAGAGGCACTTAAGCTGCTTGATGGAATAGACTTCATAGCAAATAAACTGTGTAAACAGAAAAGTGGCACCTTTTAAAAATAGACTTTGGAATACAGGTGTCCTATGCAGTGGCGTAGCGTGGGTTGTCAGCACCCGGGGCAAGGCAAGTAATTTGCGCCCCCTAACCCGTGGATTTTAGCACTCGAGTCTCTTCCACTAGATTAGCGCCCCCCCGATGTTGTGCCCGGTGCGGCCGGCCCCCCCTGCACCCCCCACGCTACGCCACTGGTCCTATGCAACATTGGACCCACTTTGTGGAAGAGAAACCACAGTAGATTGCTGTATAGTAAGGCTGTAACTAATTCAATATACAGTGGACGCTTAGGTTGCAAATGTGATCCGTGCAGAATACACGTTTGCAACCCATATCTGCGCATCTGCGCATGCGTAGGTTGCGATTTGGCGCTTCTGCGCATGCGCGACCACTGAAACCCGGAAGTAGCGCATTCCGGTACTTCTGGGTTTCGGCGGTCCATAACCTGAAAAAACGCAACCTAAAGCATCTGTAACCTGAGGTATGACTGTATTTAAAAACTGGTCAGAATCACTATACGTTCACACATACTATGTTTTTGTTTAAGCTTTTTATTTCTTCATTCAAATGTTTGTTTATTATTTACATTTTCCTGCCACCAGGTAACACAAGTCCTCTAGGTGACATCTCTTGTTTTGGACTTGGCCACGAAGATCGTTTGACATTCAAGTACTTTATTACAGTCATAGACCAGCATAAGCAAAACATCTAAATAAATAGCATAACAGTATGAATCTAAGCGAATAATTATTAAATAGGAGCAAGAACCAAACGTAGATGTAAACATATACATAGAATACTTAATTAAGCATAGATAATGGGTGAGTAAAAATTTATAAGAAAAATTAAAAGATCTGTTAACACAGCTATATGTAGTAGGCTTCAGAAGTGCAGATCTAACAATATGTGCCTTCAGTTTAGGATTGAATTGTAGCATAGACCATTCTTCGTTGAATATTTATCATGGCAGCGCAAAATCTGGCGACTGAATATGTGACCTGGGCTCCCTCCTGTAGTAATAGGAAGATGTTGTGGTGTTCTGAACACCTAGGAAACTTATATAAGGTGGGATGAATAAACCTAGTTCGAATGTCTATGTAATACTGGCAATGAAGAAGGGCACGCTCCGTTGTTTCCTGCTGCCCAGAGCCACATGGGCATTTCCTCTCCTCATAAGGTGTCTTCCTATAACGGCCTTCCTGAACTCCTGAAGAGAGGGCCTGACAACGGGCCAAAGTGAAAGCCCTTTGTTGTTTTGGTATTTCAAGATTAGCTATGTATAGCATTTGGGAAGTCAAGTTTCGCTAATTAAATTTAATAATTAATAATTAATAATTAATAATTAATAATTAATAAATACTTAATAATTAATAATTAATAATTAATTAATACTACTACTACTACTACTAATAATAATAAATAACTAATTAAATTTTTTGGCTAGGTCTACCTGTCATTCTGTGTCTACCACACGCTGTTTAATGTTGTTTTTTGCTTGTTCGTGCCCCATGTTGAGTAGGATCTGCGGAATGAATCCTAAATTTGGTATTCTATTTTCCACTGCTCATTTCCATGTAGACTGAAATTCATCTATAATAGTCAGGGAAGCAAGGCCACTCAGAAGGAAGGCTAGTCTCAGCCAGTAATTAAGAGTGGCGAGTCACACTCTGGCCTCGATTCTTATGAATCCAGTTTCGAGGTGTATAGTTGTGTTGGAGACATATTTAGGTACTTGTAGAACAGATCTTAGGAATTTAGATTGCACTAATTCTAATGGAGCACAGTTGGCGAAGGGGCCTAATTGGGTACCGTATAACAATTGTGCAATCAATTTGGCCTCAGACAGTTTGAGGGCTGCTGGTATGTAGTGTCGCCCTTTGGACCTAAAGGTACCTAAGGATGGTGTTAGCACTGCATTCCCTGCAACATAGTCGTCATGGGTTTTTCTGATTCCTGATGAATGAAGGGCTATACCCAGGTATTTAAAGCAGGTGACCTGCTTGATCTTATGCCCATCAATGTACCATACACATAA